GGGGGGGGGGGGGGGGGGGGGGGGGGGGGGGGGGCACGCGCGGCTGGCGCAGGCCCGCGGCCGCCTTTTTCACGGGCTCCCGGTCCGCGCCGGCGCGCCACCGGCCAATGGCTGCGCCCCGGGCTCGGGAAGGGCGGCGGGCGCGAGAAAGACCCCAGCTGCCCTCACGGCTCGCTCATTTGCAGGATATTGGGCCCCCCGGAGCGGACGGGGGCGGGGCTGGGCTCTCCGCTGGCTTGGCTCACGGCGTGTACCCCTCGTCCCCCCCCCCCGCTTGGGCTCGCCGCTGGTAGGGTGTGGAGCCGGCGGCAGCGGCGCGGCAACCGCAACGGGGGGGGGGGGGACCGGGAGCCCGCGAGGGCAGGGTCTTATTAATTCGTCGGAAGGCCCTTTCCGCAACGGGGGGGGGGGGGACCGGGAGCCCGCGAGGGCAGGGTCTTATTAATTCGTCGGAAGGCCCTTTCCCAGTATTCTGGAGCCCAGGCGCGCGCGCGCGGTCTGGACGCATTTGTGCTGGCCCATTGGCGGCCCTCCGGCGGCCGAGGCGCCGGGTCAATGGCGACCGGCGGCCGATGGAGGAAACACCCCGGGAGGAGGCACACAAAAATGCCCTCCCCCCCCCCCCGCCGAGCGTGGGCCCCTGTGTGTTGGGAGGTCAGTGCCCGGGGCGCCGGCGCCGGAGGCGCGCCCGGCCCTAGACCGCCGGCGCCGGCGGCCGGGCCTTCCCGCGTTTCCCGCGTTCCGCGCCCGCCTCTCCCCCCCCCCCCCGGCGCGGCGCCCCATCGCTCGCGCTCACGCCGACCCCGACCGGGTTGGGTGATGGGCAGGGGACCGGGAAATCCACCATCCTCTTCCGCCCAAGGAGGGCTCTCAGGTGGGCGCGAGCGCGCGCGCGCGTCCGCCCGCAGAGGGCCCCTGCGCCTATGAGGGATGTTGTTTCATCTTCCAATATGATTCGACACCTCAGGCCACCCGGGGGACCGGCAGGCTCCGAGTCCGGCCAGGCGGGTGAGGAAACGCCCAGCCCGGGCGGGGCGGCGCGCTTCGATGGCCGTGCGCCCACCCCCCATCGCCTCGATGCGGCCCCCGGGCGCCGGGGCGCGGCGATTTCGCCCGGGCCAACACCCCCCCCCGCTCCCTCACTTGCTCCGTCAGGTGCACACGGGGTGGTGTGCCAGCCCTGCCGGGCGCGGCTTCCCTCTGCCCTTCCTGAGTGGGCTGGTTGGCCTGCTTGCCCGGATGCGGCCCGGGGGGGCGGCGAGCGCCCGGGCTGGGACGGCCCGGCTGGCAACCTTGGTTGGGGGGTGTTGGGCAGGGGGTTGGGAACCGACCGCAGGAAATGGCAAGCCCCCCTCCCCCTTCCGGGTCAGACTCCCCGGTCCAGTCAGCCAGCCAGCCAGCCAGCCAGCCAGCCAGCCAGCAGCATGCCAGCCGCCGGGCCGACCGGGCGCAAGAGTGGCGAGGCACTCCCCCGGCTTCCCCTGCCCTCACACGGACGGGGCGGCCGCGCCTGGAGGTGCGGGCCAAGCGGGGAGAGCGGGAGAGCGGGGGGGGGGGGGCGGAGGCCTGGCCCACAGGCGAACGAA